AAGCGTTAACCAAAACCATAAAGTATCTAAATGGTCCGCATGGAGGGTGAATCAGTCCATAAATGTCCCTCTGAATCCATTGTAGAAAAATGGGAGGATTCGAACGAATCTTGTCATAAGAAGGCTTAATAATAAGCTTTCCCATAGAACATGTTTGACATGCGATTACTTGAATCGAACCTAAACTTCGGGTTAGTGGATGTATGTGTGATGATTTAAGGATACAGCGCATTGCTATTCATCTAGGATGTCCCAAACGATCATGCCAAAGTGTAATTTCGTGCGTGGTCCTAGAGGTAGGGCTGGCCGCATAGTGGCTTTCTATGGGACGTATGGTTATAGTATTTAGACCACTTAGGATACGCTCCATCTTCTCTAGAATACGCTTATGGCCATATTCGTAGGAAGTTATGCACAGAAATTCAACTTCATTTTTTATATGGGTTTCAACGTGGTAATTGTTATCTTTAATGTCTTTAAAGCTCAACAACGTTCTTTTGGAACGTGGAGAATAAAGAGCCTCATCAATGGTCAAAACTGTACCATTGGACAACATTATACGTGCCTTACCATATCCTTCGATCAGGTTAGATGGGCTTGAGAGGGTTGTCAGAGGTGCACTCTTAAGTATGAAGTTAGTGAAATAGATGCGTTCACGCAAAACGGTGTGCGTGGTTGCACTATCTGCCAGACAACTAACTTCCCCACTAGTCATACCTAGAATGAAAAAATTAATTTGAATTGGTCACATGTATAAAAGTTCTAAAAACAAATATTCATTCAAAATAATTTTAAGTATTCAAGGATGGAAATTAATTAAAACTTAATATCCAAAAACAAATCACCAACCAATAATTCAAACGTAAAGGAAAATTGTTCAAAATTAACTAAAAACAAGGTGGGGTTCGGCCACTACTATGGAATTCGGACCCAATGTCTTACTTCAACTAAAAAAAATAAGTCTATGTCTAAAATTCTAATATTCCATAGGTGTGATAGCCTCCTGAAAGTCAGAAACCACCATCTTCGAACTCTTCGATTTGTCCACTTGCATAAACTTTGATTCAAACTTCTAAAGATGAAGATGATATTCAGTTACAACTTTCTGGGGAGCTAGGCAAATACAGGACCAGTGGTCTTTTGAACCACATCGATAACACATATCTACATCCATGGTTTCAAGTGCTTTGCCTTTATTCATGAAGTTTAAGCCTTGGGAGCGAGGTTTTGGCATTTCTGGGCTTTGTTTCCTCCCTTAGATGGGCCTTGACTCTGTTGACCTTGGTGGGATGGCTTCTGGCCGCCCCTACCACATCTCTTTTGGCATTTGGTGTGTTGGTTTGTGCTATAATGTGCTTCAGGCACAGCAGTAACCCCTTCAAGTCGAGCTTGATGATTTTTCATCAACAACTGATTTTTCTTTTCAGTGAGAAGTAAAACAGAGATCAAATCTGAGAACTTAGGCCATCTCCAACCGAAGGGTCTAGAGGGCCAAAAATAGGCCAAAAACCGTCTCCAACTGAGGGCTAGGCCAGAGGGCTCGTGGGACGGAATCTGAAAGGGCCAAAGGGCCAGAGGGCTGACCCCTTCCAGCCAGCCAGCTAGCCCCGAGCTGGACAGAATTTTGTGTAAAAGTGTCAGATTTCCTGTCGGATATAACCGACAGGAATAATTTTTATTATTGAAATCGTGTCGGTTGTAACTAACACAAATAGTAATTTGAATATAAATGGCATCGGAGGAATCAGTTTGACACGGCGGAATCGTGTCGGTTATAACCGACATGAATAGTAATTTGAATTGCAATCGTGTCAACCGACACGAATAGTTTAAAATTTTGAATACAATGGCTAGCTGACTGCAGCTAGCCGTTGCCTTACATTTTTTTTTTTTATGAATTTAAACCTTTTTTTTCTATAATACCTAACCCATTCCTATACCATTTCTCACATAATTTTCACCCTTGCATACTATCTCACTTCATTCTATTTCAAATTTAAGTTGTAGTTTTTTTAATTTAAGTTGTTATTTTTAAATTTAAGTTGTAGTTATTAAATTTAAGTTGTTGTTGTTTTTAAATTTAAATAATAAATTATGTTTGACCCTATGGCCCTTTGGCCCTCGGTTGGAGACGAAGGCAAATATGACCATGTACTCTTCATTAAAATATTAATATCTTGGAGGGCCAAAGAACTAAAACGAGTAGAGAATATTAGTAGCAGAGAAGGTTGAATAGGTTTTCTGACGACACGTATGAAGTGGGTGCATACCCGCTCACTAGCACACTCTGATATTTAAGCACTTTTAGGTTTAAATTACTCACATTTTCCATATCACTACATTTTATGGCTTTGTCACCTTCCAATTGCCGGCCAGTACAACTCGATTCGGAGTCTTAGTGGACATTCCGGATCGGGGTGTGTCATATATAACAAAAAATGGGTACATTTTATGTAAAAAACAATGGTACATTCTAGACTAAAAAAAAAGATTTTACATTAAAAAATGGTACTTACAAAAAAAAATGATACATTTTGCATATAATAAAATGGTACATTTGTAACGAAAAATGGGTACATTATAAATAAATTATGAGTACAAAAAAAAGGTTAAAAAAATTATGAGTACAAATAAAAGTTTAAAAAATAAGGGACAAAAATAAATTAATATATGGGTACAAATTAAAATTTAAAAGAAAATTGGTACAATTTAAAAAAAAGGTTGCAATTTAAAAATGGGTACACACTACAAACAGAAATATATGATAAAAAAGTTTAGCCATAAATATAAATATACTAAATGAAACGTTTCTAACACTAAGTAAATGACGTTAATTAAAATCCAAGGACCTTGATAAAAAAAATTAAAAAGAAATAAGATTTTAATCAATGAAATATAAAAATAGGGATGAGAACCTAATTTCTTCTAAATAAAATATGAATATCTTTGCCAGAGTGAGAACAGGTTGGTTGTTGGTTACACTACACATGAAGCTAAATGGACACATTGAATATTTGATTGAGATGGTGCCAATTACCAAAAGGAGGGTCCATATAAGAGAGTTTGTTAAAGTAGTGATATACAAGCAAACCATCCAGATACAATTATTATTAAACCTTACTTAGAATATAGAACTTCTTCTAACAAAGCCAGTCTTAATCCAACCAACCTAATTAAACTATTAATCTCTCTCTCTCTCTCTCTCTCTCTCTCATTAAGCTATTACTTCTATCTTCACCTCACACACAACATACTTCAACACCAAGCCAAACATTACCTTGCATTGCACCACCTCCACCAACAGCAACAGCAACAGCAAACCTCTCTCTCTCTCTCTCTCTCTCTAACTGCATAACAACAAATAACATATAAATTCAGTTATGGCCTCTAACTGTTTTGATGCTCCCCCTCCACTCTCAACTCTCCTCTTTCCCTTAATCCACATCCAGTATAATATATTACATGCATGGAGCCCAACACCAACACCGCCTTGCCCAACACACCCGATTCCTCCCGAGGTTTCTGCTCCGATTTCTCCTCAAATTACCAGCCTATATACACACTTCCGAGCTCCCTCTCTCTTACTCCGTCCACCCGCTCCTCCTTCTCCGATACCGACTCCGACGACCACCACCACAGTACGACGTCGCACCGCCTCAACCAGGCTCAGCTGGTCCTCGAGTACGAGGAGCTCCGCGACCACTATGATCTATGCAATTCTCACCTTCGCAACCTCACTAACGAGCTCGACTCGCTCCGCCACGAGAACGCCCAACTCCGGTCGGCGAACACCGACCTCGTCAAGCTCCTTTCTTCGCAGGCCGCCTTCCAGAGCTTCCTCCTCTCGTCGTCGTCATCGTCCGCGTATCAGAGACCCACGGCGACGTCGTTTCTCGACGACTTTCGGCGACTCGGATTTGGATCTCTTGGTCTCGGTCCTCAGGACGGCGTCGTTTCCGAGGAATCCTCCGATATCAGTCCGACGAGCGTCATGGAGCGAAACAGATTCGTCGACGCGGACCGGATCTCGCTTCCCAAGAGCATTTCCGTTCGCTCCTCGAATCGACCACGTGTCCTGAGCGTTTCTAGACCGATGACTGTGAGTTAAATAAAATTTACAAACTTTCAATCATTAAAACCGAATTAAATGAATTTTGATTAAATAATTAATTATAATTAAGATTATAAAGTGGGTGATGGTAGTGTGTGGGAAAGTGCAGCAAAGCCAGATGAAGGTGTTCAATCAGGGCATGCTGAAGACGGAGCTTTGCAATAAGTGGGAGGAGACGGGGACGTGTCCGTACCAGGAGAATTGCCAGTTTGCTCACGGCGTTAGGGAGCTCCGTCCCGTGATGAGGCACCCGCGCTACAAGACTCAGCTCTGCCGGATGGTGTTAGCTGGTGGCGCGTGTCCTTACGGTCACCGGTGCCACTTCCGTCACTCGCTTACTGAGCAGGAGAAGCTGCAGTTGGTCGTCTCAGACTCGTTTTGAAACAAAAAAAAAAAAAAAAAAAACCAGTACGTTTTTCTTTAGTGTAAATATATTGTTTATACGGAAAAAAAAAAACAAAAACCGCAATCATAAAAATTGAGACCGTAAAATTAAGACAGTAATAATGAAGGAATTAAGTAAATTACTATAGTGGCATGCATGCTCCATGCATTGCAGGGAGGGAAATGTGGATTTTGATATGTTACTTTAGGATCCCAAACTTAAATGTAGAAATTCGGGATCCATTATTTCACTCGTATTGATTTTTTTAATTAATTAATATATATTTGAAATGTCCATGGTTGTACGCAACGTTCAATTCAAGTAAAGCTTCATTACTATTCATTCAGCAAACTTTATACATATGGCTCTCACAAGTCACCAAATATGCAGATGTACAACATTGCATTGAAGGTGAACGAAAGATTGAAGAGAAAACTAGCAAGCAATAGAAGAAAAAAGAAAGAAAATTACTACGATTACTGAAAATAAAGATTAACAATATTTTCACGAATTCGAGATTGAAAATCCCAAAGACACCAAGAAGTCAAGAAGTTGATCATTCCGAAGAGCCCTGGATATGTCACAATGCTGAAGTGTACGCCTCTTGCTTTCTTCGGTGTGCAACCATGAACGAAGTGTGAGCTCCATGATGAAAAGCTCACATGCTTTGGAGAACAAGATGGGAGTCTCCGAGCTAATCAACTGAAATTAGGATATTCAATCTAATTAGTATTTAGAAAGTTTAGTAAATTAAAAAGGAGTTTGCTTATATACTAATCAAAAGATTAAATTTGTTCAAACCTTAACTTTTCCATCTGATTTCATTATTCGTTTTACCCTTGCAATAGGAAATTCGTGATGGGTTTTCCTCACTGTGGATTATACATTATTAGAAGCCAATACGTGGCGGTTAGAAACTTAAATCCATAAAAATGAAAGATGTTGGCGAAAGTCAGGCATGCGAGCGTAGAAGATACTAGTCGTGATCATTATTGCAAGACAATGGTTCATTTATCACGAACAATGTACCACGGATGGCTTGTCAATTGTGTATCATGATGTCCGTGGTGGAATTGGATTTTTTTTACCATTAGCTCTTCATGACCGTGGTAAATGAGATGTGGTAAATGACATGTTTTCTTCTAGTTATAGACAACAACAAAATAAGAACCTGGTGTATTTTGAATCTCGAACAACTGTTGATTCCAAAATAGATCTATATTTTCCTTCTGCAGTTGAGTAAAACTAGAGCGTCTCGCCTCATGATCTTCCTCCTGCATAATCAAACGATATCAAGAAAATTAAATAATTAGAAGAATAAAGAAAAACACATGATCATGTCTAGCATAAGAAACTAGTAGATGGAAATTAGCTAGGTTCACCTCTTTGGTAGAAAGATGAGGGTCGCAATCGGGCAGCATGAAAGAATCCAATGGCATGAAATCATCGACTGGGGAAGAAGTGCTCGAAGAAGATGAGAAATTGATAGAATGGTTCAAATCCATAAGTACGCTAAAATATTTGAAGTGCTTCTAGCTAGTTTCTAGCAACTTAATTTTAGATGAGGTGCATATTGAGTCGTTTAAATAGAGAGACGTGGGTGGAAAAGTAGAGTTTTTTTTTTTTTTTTTTTGGCTTTCAATCATCTTCTTATTTGTCTTTAAGTTAGAAGAATCCAAGAGCAATAAGTTTGAAGTCAAAAAGCACCCATGACCATTGAATATGAGGTAATCTGAAACTGGATATTACTAATTAATGATCAGGATATGATGTGTAATTAAGAGAGAATCCAGTGCTATATATGAATGTTTTTGGAGGAGGAGTCTCTCCTCTTCTAATCTCTCTCCCCTTCCCTTTCTTCCTATTTGAACAGTTACGCTTTAGCCACGTCAACATCTTATATTGATTTTTGTTTATAGAAACAATAAGACAAAAAATAATATGTGAGAGGAAGGGAGGGAAAGGGATGGGAATAGGAGGGAAGAGAACCCTTCTCCAATGTTTTTTTGTTTTAAATTTTGGAGGTCTTTACATACGTGAATATGAAAGATGTAAAAGAAGTGTGCTCCTATTCAATGACTACAATTGAAATCATATGTTTTTCACACAACCATATATATTTGAGTTTCACATGCTACAATGTAAAAACCATATATATTTGAGTTTCACATGCTACAATGTAAAAATCCCACATAAATCTGCCACAATACGGATTTTATGCTTCGATGGATGTAATGATATGGATTCTGTTTTGGGCAAGCCAATTTTTTGATACACAAAATGCATCAATTTGTTGTATATGTGTACGTAATAAAGCATAATCTAATGTTATAGGTTCATGATCCAGGATGATCCACGACAGTAAATATTAATAAATATTGAGAGATAAGTGAACTACATAGAATAACAAACTTATTATACACATGTTCCTCTGAATATTGTATTCTCAACAATGTTAAAAATACAACATTTTGTTAACGCCTTGTATTGTTTATATTTTTGTCAGTTGGATAAAAAAGAGCTTTTTGACAAATTAATCCATGCTCAATGAGATGCATTGGATATTTTTGGTTTAATATTGTTATTAGTATAAAAAATCCAAGGCAATGATATGGATTGGTTGGAGACAGTCTTCATAACCTCCAAGCTTAATGAAAAAGAGCAAGTAAATTAGGATTTATATATTCACCCTACTATAGCAATAGGATTTAATTTGTTTATTTTCCTATTCGGTTTTCTTTATTTCTTTATGCATGTTTTAGGAGGATTTCCCTTTCTAATTATATTCCAACAAGGAGTAGGACTTGATCGATGACTATATATATATATATATATATATAAAGCCTTGGTTCCCTCTTCCCTCTTCGCTGCTGTACATATTAAGTCACAGATCGTGTTATTGGTGTGTTTCAAGCTTTAGATGCCGCTTTCCCTGAGTTTTCCGCTGCTAAGCTAGAGATAAGATTGAAGGATGGCTGTGGCTGTGTGTGGAAGAAAGAGGTCCATCTTCGAAGACCAATCGCCGGCCCTCGGAAAGAGGCTTCACTGTTCTTCTGCCTACTCTCCCATAAAACTCTTCTATGCTCCATCTCTTCTCGATCAGCTTCAGTCTCTTTGAATAAAGTTGAGGTTCCACCATAAAACCAATTGCCAATATAAGGAGTAGCCCAACTTACTTATAAGCTTATGCAAGGTCCCTCCTCCCTGATGAGAGTGAATCCCACATTGATGAGAGGAGGACCTCGCATGTGCTTCTAAGAAGTTGGGCTACTCCCCATATTGCCAACATCATCTGATCATCGTTTCATTCATTGTTTGGTGATCGTCTCAGCCACTACTTTGCTGGTCTAGATTTTTTGTTCGATTATGATGTTTGTTTGCTCGGTGACAATGATGTTGATTTTTAAATTTCGCTCCATTTCTTCAATATGTTCCAATCAATTGGGAGTTGTGTTAATTGGTGAAGAAAACAACCTAATAGAAAGGTTGACAAGAACATGAAAATCGAACATGGATGAAAGCATAATTCAAGCTTGTCAACAACCACCAGTACCATGTCAAAAAGATTAAACTTTTGGAGAATCAACTCTCTCACCTACTTCCTCACTCTCCCCCTTGTTGGGGCTTTAATCCCTTAAAAAAATTTGGAAATTAGAAGAATAACTCTAGTTTTTCTCTGTGAAAAAAAGTCAGGGTAGGCCGGGGACCATTTTGGTTCCTTTATGGCTCTGCCCCTGCCCTCACGTGTGATGAATTCTCAAGCCGACAACACATACGAGATGCATTGGCTAATGATGAAGCTGCTGGAGCCACTACTGAGAATCCATCAGTTGGAATAAGCAACCTGCGTACAGATGGTGCGAAATGGGTCGAATTGTTTGTAAGGGAAATTAGGAGTGCCATTAGTGTGGATGATGCTAGGGCTCGTGATGCTAAAGTTCTAGAATGAACTTCTTATTGAATTGGTGGCCAAATTGTAGTGGGCACTTGTTGACCGAATAGCCCATTAAGTGGGCCTTTTATTTAGCCCCTTTTTGAATAGCCACCTTTTGTGAGGTAGTAGTTGCTGCCTTTGTTTGTAGCACAACGGAGAGAAAAAAGAGGTTACTGCCACAACCCTATTTGTGAGAAGGAGGAAGAGTTCTTGCTCCTCATTTGTTAATAATCACTCAATCAAAGTTATAATTGATGTATTAGCTTTGAGCTTTGTATAGAAAGTAAATTATTCACTATATTTTCTTCTATATTTGTTTCTTTGTGTATGTGAGTTATTGGGTGTATTGGGGTTTTGGGTTGTGAGATTGCCAAATACTTTGTAAACACTCCCATTTGGTTGATAGTGGATTATTGGGTGAGCTCCTACTGCTTCGAGGACATACTCCAGTTACACTGACTGTTGAGGAACCTTGTTAAATTCTTTATGTCCATTTCTATTTATGTTCTAGCTTTTCACTTTATATATTTCATGTGGGTTAGCATGAGTTGGTTCCATTTGTTTTGGTGCTATCCTAGCACAACAATTGGTATCAGAGCATTGGTTGCTCTTGGGTATTGTCTAGTTGCTAAAAATGTCAAATGGGCAAGATGAGAATCCTTTTGGAAGCAACTTCAAGTTTGCAAGAACTACGGTGCAAAATGCAAAGTTTGAAGTGGAAAAATTTGATGGTACAAACAATTTCAGAATGTGGCAATGTGAGGTCAAGGGTGCCTTGCAAAAACTCAAAAGTATATTGTGATGCGGGAGACATTGACAAATATGTTGAAGCAAAAATTAGAAGACAAGTATATGACGAAGAGTGCGGAGAACCGACTACATTTGAAGAAAAAGATCTACAGCTTTCAATATAAAGAAGGTACAAAAATAATTATACACCTTGACGCTTTTAATAAGTTGATTGCTGATTTGATGAATTTAGATAAGGATATTAAGGAAGAAGATAAGGCCTTAATATTGTTGAATTCTTTGTCGGACTCTTATGAGCATTTTGTTACCACTATTATGCATAGTAAAGAAACTGTGAAATCTGAAGATGTGTCGAATGCCTTGATGAATTATGAAGAATTATGAAATGATGCATATAGATAAAAATGATGATAATATCTCTGAGGCTTTGTTTGTTAGAGGTAGATCATTAGAGATGAGATCTTTCTCTAGTAAGAAAAAATCACAGTCTCGACCTAGAGGAAATTCTAAAGGTAGAAAAAGCTTGGAAAGGGATGAATGTACTTTTTGTACAACAAAAGGGATTGGTATAGTTCGTTTAAGATTGCATGATGGCATGGTCAAAGAATTGACAAGTGTTTGGTATGTACCGAAATTAAAGAAAAATATTTCTTTGGGCACTTTAGAATCCAAGGGCTTCATGTTTCATTCAAATAGGTAAACATTGAAAGTTACTTATGGTGCACTTGTTGTGATGAAGGCTCCTTGATGTCATCATTTGTATCTATTACAAGGAAGCACTATGACAGGTGAAGTGTCAATAGTCTCAGAAAAATATGGGCAAGTTTGATTCATATACTACTAGACTGTGGCATATGAGATTAGGCCATGTTGGTGAGAGAGCTCTATAAGGGCTTTTGAAACAAGGTGATAGAAGCATATTTATGCGACTTAGTTAGTTTGTTTTCTTGCATTTTCATAGCTAGTTTCTACTTATTATAGTGTTTTAAGCTATTTTCGTGTGTTTGTAGGTCCAAATGACAAAGTTGGCAAGAAAGTGCAATTTGGAGCATTTTAGAGCAGTTTTGGGCCAACAATGGATAGTATGCGTGGGGAGCACTTTGGATAGACGTTTTTTAAGTTCAAAAGGCTAGGAATATGCTAAGGAGATAGAGAAAATAAATTTGAGACAAAGAAGATAAGGAATCAGCTAAAATGAATGAACATTATCCAAAACATTATCCAATCTTCTCTTACTAAACTAACCTTATCTTATCTTATAATATCCTAATCTTATCATACCTCAATTCCAGTTGCAAGGGAGGATCAATTACACATTAAATAACCTAAATACCCCTTTCTAGAAGCCTTATCACCTGCCCTAGATTGGTGCCGCACCTTTTAGTGCTTTTCTTCTAGAAATCTGCCAGATATTCCATTCTAGAAGCTTTGGCCGAATTTCTTAGTCCTTCTTCTATAGGATTGTGTAATCTTTTTGCTCCATTACTTTGTGCCAAACCCTAGTCCTTTTCCTTCAAGAATTGTGTCAAATTTATCCCTATCATCTCATGAATTTGTGCCGAGTTCCCTAGGCCTATATATACATATTTTTTGCGGCACAATGGACACACCACCCCCATATATTTCTACACCACCATACACCACATACAAGAGAGCAATTGAGAGATTTTCAGAGAGTTTCAAAAGGGTGCCGCAATAAGGGGAAGGAAGGAAGAGAGGAAGAAGCCTTTGTGTCGTGCATGTGCCCAAGCTTTTGGGAGTGTTGGAGCATCTCTGAGGTGTTTTCTATCCTTGTTTTAGTTTTACAATTATGTTGATTTCGTTGTTAATTTCTGCAAACA